ATATTATGCCATCACATCTGTGGCAAAATAAGATTTCATTTTTTCATAATAAGTTTTATATCATATCCTATTAGTGAGTACAACCAAGTGATTTATCATCCCATATAACTCTTCGCTGTATTTCTATTTTTAGCCATTTAATGGGAATGTTTTACCGTACTATTAGAATGGTGGAAAATGGTATTAAGCCTGTATATGTTTTCGATGGAAAGCCTCCTGAAATGAAAGCTGGAGAATTAGGAAAGCGAGCTGAGAGACGTGAGGAGTCTGAAAAGGGGTTGGCAAAGGCTCAAGAGGAAGAAGATTCGGAAGCTGTGGAAAAATTTTCCAAACGTCTTGTTAAAGTTACTCAACAACACAATAATGACTGCAAACATTTGCTCAAATTGATGGGAATACCCTATGTTGAGGTAAGTAAATGCGCTTAAAATATATTCATTCCTAGTGAATTTTAGTTAGCTATTCACTCGATTATTCACTCTTTTTATATAGCTATTTCACTTGCATTGAACCCTTAGGGGCTTCGCAACTATTACAGTTGTATTCACTAATTTTCAATTCAGGGGATGAGAACTCTGTAGTTGAATTTCTCTGCGATGATATGAGTCTCCAATAAATTTTACCTAGCTATGCTTCCCAAAAAGTATTTTCATTCATAGTGGATTGGAATTTCGACCTCGCATAGGTTTCATCAGCACCCCCAGCGTGATAGTGCAGCGTATACTCTCGAAGCTTTAACCAATACTCCCCATTGAGATGAGTGCCCTTCGGCCATAGAGAAGATTTTATTATTTTCAATGCTAATCTAGCAGACTTCTGTATTTTATTTGCGGTAATAATTGGTGACAGATAGGCATCCAATATATGATATATTTAGATGCTCCAAATAGTTCATACTATCATAAAACTTGTAGAAAGTACTTAATCTAGGTTTAACTTTGCTCGAACAAAATTAACAAAAAAATAGGTTTGTTATCTTTGTTTCATCATTAGGTATACTTTGATGGCTTAGGTAGGCTAAGTGGTTTGTATGCTTTATATGTAATGCATGTAATATATGTATATATTTTTTTGATACAGCTAATCTATTGCATAATATTGCGGGTACAATTAATAAATAGACAAATGGGGAATTCATTGCATCTTTGCATACTGTATGCGAGTGCCTGCCTGTGTATTTACTTGTAATAATCGATAGAGCTTATGTTTACGGTCTCTCTTCATTAACTTATGAAATTAAAAAATTTAAACATTACCATAATATTATGCTCTATGAAAATGCGTTCTAATTACAATTTTTCCAATTCTGAAATGCATGACTTTTCTACTTTCGATACTTATTAAGGTATATACTAAAAATCGGTCTTGATTCAAAATGATTGGAATTCTTAGCATATATTAATTTTATTTGTCTACCTTACAAATGTCCACATGCTTTGCTTTGTATGCTATTTTTATTTTTAATAAGGCCCCCTGTGAAGCAGAGGCACAATGTGCTTCATTGGCAAAATCTGGCAAAGTTTTTGCAGTTGGCACTGAAGACATGGACGCACTTACTTTTGGTGCTCCTGTTCTATTACGTCACCTCACCTTCAGTGAAGCCAGGTATCTTATTGTCATACCATTTTATAATTATTTTTGCTTTAAGATTTGATTCATAAAATTCTAACTACTCAGGACAGTTATGAAAAACAAGTTCGAACTATACATACATGATACATTAAATTCTTATTCAATCTGAAATCTGTTATAATGGACGCTTTTGTTATTATGTATTAAAGTATACTTACGAGTAGCATGTGATAATATCTGTGAAATATTTGCCGGTCATTGCAAATATTTTTGTTATCTTCAATATATTGGATAAAAACTGTATTCGCCCTAGGTCGTATAAAGTTATAAAGAACCGCTCTTATTTAAGATATAATTGTAGTTTTGAAAACCATTTCATATAAATATTAGTAATTTGATAAAGTATAATGGCAAATGAAAATTTGCCTCATTCACAAACCTATTATAAAAATGTGGTATTAGAGGTTTGGCTTTTTAAATTAACGTCTTCCCTGTGATCCAGGGGAACTTTTGGTTATATAAGAGTCAATGAAAATGTGAGGCATACTAATATGCCTGTGGGAAATTCAACTGTCAGTCCTTTATTATTAAGGCTTAGGGCGAATGCTGATATTATTTAAGATCTATTGGTAGTTTTAAAACCTTTGTATGGATTTAATGTACATTTAGATATGAAGAATAAGATGTTGTGGCCAATATTTTGGCCGCAGTCTTTTTTCGATGTATAGCAGTGGTTTTTGTAACTTGACTATACTGCCAAGACAACTTAGTTGGGCGTGCCTTGTTCAAAATCCTCTTTTATAGCAATTATTGTAACTCCCAGTGTTGGACCGTGGACTTGGTACATTCCCAGAAATTTCGCCGGCATTGCCAGTGAAGCTTGCCTCTCTCAGCACCAAGTTACAACTCGTCAAAGAGACAAGTGAAGTAAATCACTTGACCAACTCTTCCGAAACGGCTGTGCTATCATTCCTCTTTCTGTCCTGGCCCATCTATCTACTCTCTTATCTCACTCCCACTATCACAACTTATGACTTGTTTATATTCCACTCAAGAGGTGGGCCTTTTTTGGCGATTTTAGTGTGGCGTTATAACCTGATATTTGCCTTGCCTTGTCCTCCCTTCCTCTTGATTTTCTGATCCGACTCGGTCCTCCTATCCCGACCTTCTTCATGGTCTCGTAGGTCCGTTTCTTGTCTTTATTGTCGACCGATTTCACTCGGCTCCAGTCCCAGTATACGTTTTACTCCCGACGCTGTTTCTGAAGCTTTCTTCAGCACGTACTTTGTCGCCTCACCTGCAGAGTGCCTAGGCCCTGATTCCCATACTTTTGGACATTAGGCACTGTCTTCACGCTTTATCTCCTTGATTAAACCCATGCATCCTGAGCGAACTGCATGTCTCGCTCTGGTCGCCTGCTCACTCGAGTGGATTTATAGTCAATTTGGTTATAATTATAGCCAAAAAATGGATCTACGAGCCCATGATGGAGGTCGGGACAGGAGGCCCGTGTCGGATCAGCAAATCGAGAATGAGGATGGGGCAAGGCAAACGGTAGGTTTAATGATGCCACACTAAACTCTCCAAAAAAGGACACCTCTTGGGAGTGGAATATGATCAAGTCAGAAGTTGTGATAGGGCGGGAGTATGATAAGAGGGTATGAAGTAGATAGATGGGTCATGGCAGAAAGTGGGCTGACATCACAGCCGTTTCGGTAGAAAGTTAGTCAAAAAATTGACTTTACTTGTCTCTTTGATGAAGTGTAACTTGGTGATGAGAATAGCAAAACTAGGATGTCGGTGAAACGCCTGGAAATGTTTTAGCTCTACGGTCCGACGCTAGGGACTATAACTAATATAGCAGATGACTCCGGACTAGGTGCGTTCAACTAAGTTCTTCTGGCATCACGACCAAGTTGCAATAACAAAGTTAAACCGCTTCAGTCTGTCTGGTCTATAAATCAATGGTGATTAAATGTGGTGGCTTATTGATTTTTAATTGTACTTTTTCATACCTCTTATATCTACAAAAACGTGATGTTCCATGCAAGCAACTTAACCGAGGCTTGAAGCGCTAGCAGCAAATAACCATTCTTCTACCTCTTTTATCAGACAATTATAAGTTTTCTTGTATTAGAGGAATATGTCAAATAAGCGAGTACATTTAGCGTCTCTTTTTCTCTAACTTACTCAGGTCCTACTATTCTTTTATTCATTTAGGAAGCTCCCAATTCAAGAGTTTCATCTGGCCAGCATTCTCGACAGCATGAATATTAGCATGGACCAATTCATTGATTTATGCATTCTTCTTGGTTGTGATTACTGTGAAAGTATCAAGGGTATTGGGCCAAAAAAGGCTGTCGAACTCATAGTCAAATACGGTTCCTTAGAAACAGTCTTGTCTCATCTCGATAAGACGAAGTACCCCCCACCCGAGGATTGGCCTTATGCTGCTGCAAAGAAGCTTTTTGTTAGCCCAGAGGTCATGGACTCGGAAAAAATTGAAGTTAGTCTCTAGAACAGTCCTTCTTTGATAGTAAGATTGGTTTATACAAATTGGCGTGCACATATTTTGCATATTTTAAAAGCACTTTTAGTTTTATTAGAAAAATTAATACAGGTACTTGGTATGGATTTCAAAATTGGATTCCTCAGATTTCTTTTACTACTTTATTTAATAGCATTAATTTTTTTCTTACGATTTTCCCTCTCTTTTCCCTTGATTGCATTCTATAATCGATTAATTTTATAAAACATGTTATACTAATATTTGTAGTCCTGTCAAAACTATCACCAAGGTTTTATAGTCTACACGAATTTATTCCACTCTTAATATTCGTCAAATGTTTAGCAAGCACTGTTTTGAATTTGTTCTATTTTAAGAGACCTGATTAGTTTTATATGTAATTCCTATAAGGGCGTCTGCATGAGTAAGACGTATTTTAGCAACCAAACTACAATAAGATATCGCATTTTAGAAGAATGACATTAGTCAGACTTCGCCTTAGCCTATTTATATTCAGTTCTTGTGTGAGGCAACCGATCCCTTTCTGTAGGTATAAGCTAGCATGGTGATTAAACAAGTCTTGCACCCCACCTTTTTTATATTTTTAACGGTTTTCACACATGCAGAATTTAATCTCAACTAGTCATATAGTGTAATCACTCTTGATTTATTTAATCTATTTGATCTTTTTTCCTGTCAATTCTCTTTGGGATCAAGGCTTTTAATTCACCTCCATTCTGTTGCTGCTTTTAAATTGATTTGGGAGATTTGCGTTTGCAGTTTTCCCTGTATATGGTCCTT